CTATGTCCAATTGAAAGTGATATAGATATATATACTAACTTTCAATTGCCTAGATACTAGAAGATTTGTGCCGCCTGCTCGAGGGTGAACAACTCACATACTTGAACATCAAATCGCTTTCTAAAATTTTCATACTGGAATTGATTGAAAGCATTCTAGTCAATAACACTGCCATTTTTGCCAACCACCCAGAACATACACAAGTCCTTCGGCATAGACTATTACCTTTGGCAGTCAGGTACCTGTCTGAACGCCAGTCATTTTCCTTGACTGTCCGTGTTGCGAGGATAGCACTATATATTTTGAAAGCCCACTTATCCTTATTAACCGTTGAATGCGAGGTAATCCTCTCGCTTTTGATTCATCTAATCGACACAGAAACTTCTTTGCCCTGGAAGCGGGTGCTTTGCATGGAGATCTTTAGATCCCTATATACCGAACCGGGTATCATCCGACTTTTGTATACGCTCTTTGATAAAGAAGAAGGTCGCAAAGCCGTATTAAAGGATCATATGTCGTGCCTAGTGAGGCTTTCCTCTGAAAAGTCTTCGCTGATTGGTCTTGGCCATCAATCCACGATACCATTAGCACCACAAACAGGTAAAGACACGATGGAAGATCAGGTCACCCTTGAGTCAGTTGGAGTGAGTGGCATAATCGGGAGCCCGTCGAATAAGTCAGAGATGTGTGGCATTAGCACCCAGTGGAGCCTCCTTCGAGTGCCATATATTGAAACGCTCGACAAAGTCGACTCTCCTTCACCTCCAGATACATATATCTACAGTCTAGTACTCAACTGTATAGCAGCGTTCTCCGAAAGCATGGCGAAGTTCATCATCCCGCTAGCTGTTGCTGAATCGAAGAGCAAGCGGAAACGCAATACCTCAAGTTCAGACAAGGAGCGCAATTCCAACCAGCAGGACGCTGGTCGCAAAGAACCGAACGGAAGATCATCCATTCCTCCAAATCCTCTTGAGTTAAACTCCCATCCTCAAATCACTGATATTCAAGCGACTGCTGGTATCATCGAGGTCTGCTGGCCAGCGATACTGGCCACTTCGTCTACTTTCTTATACGCAGCGCTAGATGGAGAATTTTACCACTCTCTGGTCCGAGCATTCCAAAAGCTGGCTCACGTTGCCGGTTTGTTGAGGCTTGCAACTCCTCGGGATGCGTTCCTGACGACCCTTGGGAAAGCAGCAGTACCTACGGATCTCCCAGGGCCCAATCCTGATGGTAGCACTCTTAACTCACCTGTTATTGATAATACCAACCAACGACCAAGTATTTCTGAAGCCGCCAACTCGCCTGTCGATAGCCCTATTCATATGCTCAACACTAGGAATTTACTATGCCTACGAGCACTCTTAAACTTAGGTATCGCTCTTGGGCCGACTTTGGACCGCGATGCGTGGTCCATCATTCTTGAGACTCTCCAAAATGCAGAACTAGTCATCAACGCAACGAGTTCGACCTTCGTATCAATGCCAACGGACCCTGCCCTAGAGGCCAAGAACTTGAACTCCGATACCCCCAAATCCAAGCTTGGGCCTGAAATCATGGCTGTACAGGCAGTAACCAATAAACTTTGCGAAAGCACAGGCGATTATACAAACTCTGCATTTAAAACCTTTCTCATGACTTTGAGCTTGCCTGAAAGCTTTATGAAGGACTCAGAAACTCCTTCTAGTCAGAAACAATCCTCGCCTCTTCTCACCCAAGGACAAAATGGAGGAAGAGTTCACCAAAATAAACGCAGCTTGTCTGTGGCACTAGGGCGTAACAGGGTGCGCGAGGATGAGTTGAAGTTTGTGCTAGAGAAGGCACATGCCGTTGCCAAAGCAAATATCGAACGGCTTTCTCTCTCAAAGGACGAAGGTATATGGGAGCTTCTGGTCAATAATCTTTTGAAAACAATCCAGAACGACCAGATTAGCTCCGCACTACGCCTCAAGGCTAGTGAAGTGACTAATACGGTGATCTCAAATACCATCAAACTCACAGAATCCACTGAAGAAGAGTCAAGGAATAGTGTTCAGCTTCGTGGATTACACGCTTTGAGATCTCAATCATCCATGCCATTCCATGGGAGGCGGTCAAGCTCTTCATCCCGTGCGGTGGACCTAGAAGTCCATGAATTTGCTCTCGAAACCTTAAAGTCTATTCTGGAGGGTTCCGGTCAATCAGTGGTTGCAGGATGGAATATGGTATTTGAGTTAATATCAAGCGTATTTGACAACGAAATACAACCTCTTACGGAGACCGATGAGAACCAAAGACCAATCCAGTCAACACCTAGCAACCCGAAACTGGCAAAAGTAAAGTCTCAAAAACTTCTACGAACTGCGTTCGACTCCCTGCAACTCATAGCATCGGACTTCTTATCGCTACTTCCAGCTTCATGTCTACTTGAGCTAGTAGAATGTTTCTACAGCTTTGCATCTCAAAAGGAAGATTTTAATATCTCACTAACAGCCACGACGTCATTCTGGAATATATCGGATTTCCTTCGAGTTCAGATCGATCGATTCTCTTGTGAAGATGAGATTACTGTTTCGACTAGTGAAGCGCAGATTGTAGAGATTGCCCAAAGCCCATACAACTCTTCGTCAACAAGCGCGCTGTGGTTACTCTTGCTTCTGAGGATGGTCGATCTCACAGTCGATACCCGCACTGAAGTACGAAACAGTGCAATCCAGACAATGCTTCGAATATTGGATCATTCGAGTGAACAGTTATCCCCTGCTATATGGCACCTATGCTTGAACAAGATACTTTTTGTTATGGCAGAGGCTGTCCAGGCTAAGACTGCTCAATTAATGGAATCTTCGCCAGAGAATCCCGAAGAGGTGAAGCCCTGGGTTGATACTTCAGTGTTATTGAGCAAAGGTCTATCAAATCTTATCGCTACCTATTTTACTACAATTATCAGGAGCGAGGATTTTCACAAATCTTGGACAAGGTTGCTTCTTTTCTATGAACCACTTATCAAGCTAGATTCGCTGGATCTTAAGGAGGCCATTTTCTCGAGTTTGTGCCAAATACTCTCCTGTATACAAACACCTGAAGATATTGGTATCAACTTGGTCCAACAGGCCTGGGATGTTTGGGCGAATGGTAATATAGTTTCCAAAGATGGGAAGCCGGACAGTGAGCATTCGAACCAGAGTGGACTGCTGGCTTATTTCAAAGCCTATAGGCAGCTCTACAGGCTACTTAATAATCACTTAGGCGAACAGCAGATACTCGATGCCTTACAGAATACCCAATTAGCTGTCGAACAATCGATCCATTCCAAATACTCTCCGGATGTCGAAACACCCTCCGAGTTACAGGCTCAGATACTGGAGTGTTTTAGGACCCTTTGTGCTGATAAACCAAACTCACAGTCGGCAATCATGGATAGCCTTTCCACTTTTTTTCAACTGCCTATGGCCAATTGGACACCACAAGCTGACCGAGCCAAACCAACCTTCGTTGCGCTATCCAAATCCTCAATGAAGCTTTTAAGCTGGTATATAGGCGAAAATGGATTGAAACCTAATGTCCTGCCGGATGGTGTGCTGAGTAACACCCTTGAACGACTGACATCTCCAATATTTGGCAAGTACAAGTGGCTAGGCAAGGATGGCAGTCCACCCCTATGGCAGACGGCAACAACGGCTTCTCTAGACCTCATAGAAATTGCTGTTGGATACGTTGAGGCCCAATATTCGACTTGTGACCGTACTATTACAGAGCGCTTTTGGGCATCGGTAGTTGAGGTCGTAAAAGCAGTTGTCTCTTGTGGAGAATACACAGATCTAAACCTAACGCCATCCACCCTGTTATCTGACGAGCAATTCGATATTGCTGCCTTTGAACGACTCCGTGGCATGATAATCCCAGCCCTTGGCTCATCATTTGTCTCTCCGAAGATCCGGAGAGACTTTGCCTTTGTGCTGTTCAATTCTTCACATGTCTATCCACCACAGCGATTGGATCTGCCAGATAACTCGGCACAAAAGGAACCTCTCCGCGATCTATATAAGGTCCGACGCGGCCGCACTCATGGCCCACCGCCAACGATGCGGAGCAAACTATCATATGTGCTAGTTGATACGCTATTTGACCTTGCGTCTGTTCGCAAACGGGCCGCAGGAGAGAGCCAAGCTTCATCGCCAAATTTTGTGACACCGTATATATCCCTTGCAAAATCTGTGTCACCGTACCTTATCTTACGCTGTGCCTTGCCCTTGAAATCATATATCGCCGACCAACCACTTCTGGGGCTTATGCCACAACCCATAATTTCAAGGAAGGAATTGATGTACCTCCTAACCCGATTGGTTGATTTGAAGAGTGAGCCAACTGCCATCCCAGCAGCTGGTCCTAGCGTTCCTATAGGGGGGCCAAACGACTCCCCAGACGACGACGACGAGGATGAGGAGGAAAGCGGTAGCTCCACAACGGCAAGGTTCAAAAAACATCTCGGGTGGATGTATCCTCTTGTTACCCGTGCAATAACAGTTGCCGGCAAGGAATCCAAAGATCGTCAAGTTCTGGATGCGCTGACAAAAGTCTTAGAGGGCATACAGGGGTAGTGACTGGCCTAGTCACTGGGAAATTAGAAGAGCGGTGTCTCCTTTTTCCAATCCCATGGTTGTTTGTTGGATAAATACATCGTAGATAATCATTCTTTGTTTGAACCCTTGATCGGCATTATGATACCAATTTATGTTTGTTGTTTGGCTGAAACTGGGCAGTCGATATCACAAGTATGTAACGTGGGGGTTAGGTTGAAATCATACTGGAACATGGTCCAGCCGCAGAAAGTGAAAATTAACAATGAAAAAAAAATTACATATTCTCCGGACAAAAGGAAAATTAGTTATCAGAAAACAAGTTCGTTAGAACTCCGGACGCCATCACCTCCTTTTATTTTATATGTTTGCGCGGAGGCGAGAAAAGGAGAAAAATGGGAAGAAATAGGATCAGATTCGGAGAAACATCATTTTGAGCTATGTCGGCATAGTGGATGCAGGTGCAGATGCAGGTTCAGGTGCAAGTTGGGATGGGGGCGATGCATGGTGCGAGCTTTGCAAGCCGTCTTCCTCATCCTCGCTATGACGTACGGCTTGTTTGCGTTCCGGTGGGGGCACTGCATGTTGTCCATCATGCGGTTGGTTTTCAAGTTGTGCAGCAGCCGCCATTTCTGGAGATTGACGGAAGAGGACAATCTCCGATTGTTTAAAATATCGACGGGCGTCTAACCATGGTCAGAATAGCACATTAGTGGGAAAACTCGAGTGGCCGTGCGGTGAAATAGAATCGCGGTGCAGAGAGCGAAATGCATACCTTCGTCGATTAATACAAGGCTGAGATAATACCTCGTTGAGTATTTCTTGTTCACATCTCGGAAGGTGGGAGTTAGATCAAATCCACCTAGGAATAATCTGATGGGTATGGTTTCGCCTAATGCAGTGTCAGTAAAGCTGGCGAGGTAAAGAATTAAGGTGTTCCTGCTTAAACATACCTCTTGATGGAGAACCATCCATAATCTGAGCCAAGAAATAGTCAACAAAACCGCTGTATAGAGTATAGAAATAATGAATAAAGGGATCACATACCTCAAATCTTACCAGCGTCTCGCTTTCGTTATACTGATTCGGCGGGGATCCTGTAGTCTCTCGTCTTATAATAGACAACTCCATGTGCTTAATTTTCAACCGAACGAGCAAAAAGTATATTCTTCCCACTATCACGTCCCTCAAGTGATATTTTGACTTCGAATACTCGAATTCAATATGTAGACAGTCCTCAATCCCGACGTCCATTTTAATTGGATTGTTGGACTCCGGCGGCAATCTGTACGAATATACCCAGATGTCCTTCTCGCGCACAACATCCGCAATCCGACGGGAGACCGTTACTCTGACAAAATACCGCAGCTTGACGTTGATTCCGTTGTAAGACTCGTACTGCTTCTCGACATTTTTGAAGTTGAATGGGAATGTCTGCGGGTGCTGTAGTTCTCCAGGAGCAGCCAGTTCTTGGCCCAGGGAGAGGAATTCGTAGTGATTGCCACGATCATAGAGCATCTCTGCGCATATACAAGGCCATCATCAGCAGGTGTGCGTACATTTTACTTTATTATCCTTCTTTGGGCAAGGGGAAGGCTTGAGGGGGGGATGGATGAGCCGGAACTGTATAGACGTACCAATCATGCCGATGAACTGCACCTTGATGCCTGTATGCTCCAGTCGTTTGCCATCCTTTGGCCTGACTGTGACAGCACCCTTCACTGACTCCCCGTCAAGGTACAACGGAGCCTTCTCCCGCCGGTTCTTCTCGAGCTTGATGTCGACCGTTTCCCGCTCATCGCCGTCTTCTAGCAAGATGTCGATATCGACGGGTGTGGAGAAAAAGAAAGAGGACATCCTGGTCGCAAATCGCCAGAGATACGTTAATCAGAAGACTTAATCAACCAACACGAGCGCCAGTTGTGTTATTCCCAGCTGTTCTGTTGCTCTTCCAGAGCTGTATTCATGGTGTTGCCTGGGGCTTCTTTGGCTTCATTTCGGGTGGTTGATGTAAGACCCGTGCTTATGTAATCAATACCATCCTTTTTTTCTCCTTTATTTGGCTTTTTCCTCCTAAATCTTTTTCTACTTCAACGTCAACAAAGGCCAACGTCGACAAAAAAGACAACTTGTATCTTCATTCCTTCGCTAGAAAGACAGAGCGAAGGTGGTTTGTCGGTGTGATAAGGTATTTGCTGCTCGTGAAGGCCGGGCTTTGAATCCTGCTTTCTTTTTTACCTATAACCTCGCGAGGTACCACCGGCGTTCTATAGGAAGATTACTAGTTAGCTCATCGGTGCTCATCACCAACGCTAGAGACTCGATTGGCAGCTAACAGGATGCAGGATGAGGTGATCAGATGCGAGAGTTCATGCTGCTACCCCTTATCTGCTTCCGTATCCGCATCCACTAACCTTGGGAATCTGGGGGTGGCCAGGAATTGGCCGGATTCCATGTTTTCATGGCCCCTTCTCTCTACCTTGACTACTCCGTACGCAGTGCGGAGTACGGAGTACTCGATACACATATAGTTATATACTCCATACTTCTTCAGGGTTCATAACTAGACATCATAAGCGCCAAAAGACGGTAGCGGAAGCGATGTTCGACATCCGTGCGGAAACGGGAGAGCTGGGAACTTGAAACCGGAGTTTGAATCGGTGTTTCTTATACGGAGAATACGTAAAAGGTCAGCTCGCGATAATGGAAGATACGAGGCCCTAGAAAGGGTGTAATCTCAGTAAGCGAGGGAACCACCACCCATTTGACGTCCCTGAACCGTATAACCTCCCAATCCTGGCCTCGGGAATGAATGAATCAGAACATCCATGCTAACGTCTTTTTGTAGGGAGAATCAATGTCGAAATATCCTTTCGGGAACCGGGCAGCCATCCGCTCGAGTGAGCGAATAACTAATTATAGTCCTTACCCATCATCCTGTACGAAACGCACAAGGCCTATATAGGATATGTCGAGCAAGCATCGAACTAGCCCAATATGCAACCTCGTTGTCGTAGGTATGAATACAACTTGCTGCCTGGCAACGTCAACAGCAAGGGAGAGGGCCAAAATCCCTGTACGTATCCATGCTTAATATGTAATTCGACTTGAAAAAGCAAATCTCCGACAGGTTTCCATCAATGGGATCGTTTTGTGATCACAACCGCAAAATGAAGGCAGGGGGGTGTCAACAAGAGGATACACAGCCATCCCCCCCGCTCCCAGTAAAGTGCTTTGAGGGAACAAGATGTCGAAACGACCGTAAAGGATTGTGGCTCTGTCCTTTGTGGCAATCGTGCAGCGAGGCAACGTGGCAGACAGGATCAAGTTACCAGATTGGACCTTGTCGCCGTTCAATTGATGCCCTGAGGCGGCTGAGATTATGATCTCGACTAGAGGTTTTCGTGTGAACCAACATCTCGCGAAGTGGCCAGCTCCGCCGAATGTGGATAGAGTCCCGAGTATAAGTGCAGAGCACCGTACCAAGTACTCCGTACGATCAGCTCGTTATGTGACAGACTCGTTCTGGTTCGTATACAGAGTAGCTGGTCACCTTCCAAGAGGCGCAGATGCATTATTGACAGAGCTATCATAATGCTCCGTATGGAGTACGTCTAACTATCCTCTACGCAGCCGCAACACTGACCTCATAGTGCATGGGACCAACGACTGGCGTTCTGACCTCCAGTCTCCACGCAGGCCGTTGCGATTTGACTCTTTTCGGCCTGGTAAATGACAATAGTGCAAGTCGCTCACCGTCTCTTCGCACTGCGCCAACTCACTATGGATGCACCAAGCTGAACTGCTTTTTTTCTCCCCTGTGTAGACGAAGTCTTCGAGCCTGGCTTGCTCGTCCGAGGGAAGGGGACAAGGATAACAGGGGCATCCCGGCACGACGGCCGCTGGTTGACTTTCACACATCATATCTCATCTCCATCATCCCCGTTGCTTGGAAAGAGGTACACCTATCACCACGCCTAGTGGTCATGGCCGCGGCGCCAACTCCATCCCGCGGGTCTGTTTGCATTCCATCCTTCCTCCGAGGCTTGGACGATCAAGGCCCTCCGGTCCTGATTCCTCAATATTCTCATCACCAACAACAAAAACCAACACCAACCAATGCAGCAGCCTCCAGGCGCCATCCTCAAAATGCATTCATGCGCCGGCCTTGCATCCTTGGAGATCGGGCCAGCTCCGGCCCAGAACCGTGACTGTGGGTTAGCCCTGTCTGCTTGTTTTGTCATCCCGTTCTCTCTGCCTCCCTTTATCCCCGGCTTTTACGTTCCCCCCACTGGCATCCACCGCGGCCTCTGTCCACCCATTGCCGATGTCTCATGATTGGACTGCGCGTGAATTAAGATTTGCAATAAGACAGCAACCAGAAGTTCTGGACGGATTGTCTCATGGCTTTGTTGAGCTGGGTTTCGTCCGGCGTGGGATGGCTCAAGAGATTTCAGAGCTTAAAACCAACCGTTCGCCCGCTGTTTATTTTTCGTACTTCCTCGTCCTCTCCAGAAGCTCCCTAACTATCCTTCCAATCTCATGTTAACTACTAGCTATAGCTACTCTCTTTGTTGTGATCCAGATACTATCTTGATCGGATTTCTGTGCTTTTGCCAAACTCGTTGTTGACAAAGAATCCGTGCAGTGTGCTACGATATCTTTCTATATCTTGTTTGTCCGGTACAAACATTATCAAGCCGTTCTCAGGCCCATCACAGCTTCACTGCTACCCAAAAGCAAACCGGCTAAAGCAAGCTGATTTCGTGGCTCAGAAATTTAAGCATCATGCTATCCACGGAACAGCCTTCCACTGGCCCTTATATGCCGGCTACTAGGTCACCGCTGCCACTACAGAACAACAGTCGCAATTTTTCCCACCGGTATTCCTCAGCCACAACTTCATCCTCGTCTCTATCTTCCAGTGCTGCATCATACACGGCAAGAACTCAACAAAATCCTCATGCTATGAAGCCACAACATATCTGGATAGTCACGGGGCCGGCAGGCTGCGGGAAGACTACCGTAGCTCAGGGCCTGGCGAAGGAGCTTCATATCCCATACATTGAAGGCGATGATGTATGTACTCAATTAGCTGATCCCTGGACACTTACTTAAGGCAGGGAAATCAATATTCTAACGGTTTACGTAGTACCATTCCAAGTCCAACAAGGAGAAAATGACCAATAGCATCCCTCTAGATGATGCAGACAGATGGGACTGGTTGATTCAGCTTCGTGAAGCTGCGATTAGCGCTTTGACTACTCCATCTTCCTCTTCGGGTTCATATCCCCGGACTTGCCCACCTGGCGTTGTTGCAACCTGTTCTGCGCTTAAGCATAAATATCGCGACGTCATCCGTGTCGCCGCCTATGGCCATCCCACAATAAAAATCCATTTCATTTACCTTCGTGCTCCCGAAGAGGTGTTGCTCCAGCGAGTCAGGCAACGCAAAGGTCACTACATGAAATCTACCATGGTCCATTCTCAATTTGAAATGCTGGAGGAGCCTGATTCCGAATGGGATACGCTCTCGGTAGATTGCGCCGCCTCGCCTGCCGAGGTACAGAGACGGGTCAACTCAATCGTCTTACAGAAATTGGACGAGTATGCGGAATAACCAAACAACACTTTGCGAAGAACCCCCAAACAGAACTATCCAGAACAATAAGCACCTCTAGATGTCAGCCACACGGCGCCATGCAGGCAGAACCGTTATTTCTTTATTTTCTCTCCGGTTCCCTTTTCTTTTTCTCGTCTTTTTGATGCAAGCGATCTCATCGGACCTATCGATTTTAATCCTCCCGCCTTTTCCCGGTTCCCCCATCCTCACTTTCCTTTTCATAGTTTTTTGCTTATTCACATATCGGATTTCAAGCGATCGGCGCACCGGCTGGGAGGCAGAGATTTGGACTAGTGAGAACTACCCAATTATCACCCATTTGAATAATGAATTACTATTTTTTTTTTTTCTGCCTTAACCCTTTTCATTGTACGGAGTACTGCGTACGGAGTATGCTATCCTGCAACTATTTAAGATTGTTATATCCTCTTGTTCTAGACCTTTACTCTACCCCCTCCCCCTCCCTTCATCCCTATTGCTTTTCCTTTGCTTCTCCCTTCCTTTCTCCGTCCTTTGCTTTTTACTGTCTACGTATCTGACCGTCCTCCATCATGGAGGATTCAGTGACAGTCATGAGACCAAATAACCGAATGTGCATTTTTGGCGGGGCCGTGAGCCACTATTCATACTACATATTCTTGCTGTGATATGTACCTGCGATGTATTTTGAACCATTAAAGGGCGCAACTGATTTGCCCCCAAGTCTAGGGCCATATGAAATCAGCATATTCGTTACCGTCTTTACACATGCAAAATATCCTGGTTGCTCTACGTCACAGCCTTGCTCTAGTTAGTGTTAAGCCGGGTATTTTTCCATTTGCTGGCCATCCATTGGATACCAGCACTCACCCTGTCTTCTCGCTGGGGTCCAAAAAATGGGGGTATGACTCTTGTCCTGCGGACCGCAATTGTTGCAGTGAAAATACCAAAGTGAACACATGTACGCTGCTTCTGCTACCGCTGTTGCTGTTACTACCCGTTTCCATTGCGGAGGATACTTTCAATGGTTATCTCCTGGCAAAAATACCAGACAACCCCGTGAAAGTGCATTGCAGTCTCGGTTTAGAACGAGAGACATGCATATAGCGCTTTTTGAAATTCTCTGCCGTGTTTCTGGGGCGTTTCCTTGCTTAGTACATATTTTATAGCAGGAATTTGTCAATAACAGTGGGTGATAATGAGGCTTTTGATTATGAGCTATGTCGTCGTCATCCACCCAAATAAGTTTCCTTGATATTCTTGAGGCGGGCCAGTTTGGGCGGCGTTCCTATTTGATATGTCAATTAATTCTCTTAACATCCAACCCGGGTGAGAAGCGGGTGCAGCATGCAGTGGCAGGCAGTACGGTACATTATGAGGATGGGCATTCTTTAAACAAAACAAATATGACTAAATATCTAACGAAGTAAAGTCAAATAAGAACGGAACAGTCAATCATTGTATCCGGTATGGACATATGGCTTGACTCTGGCTCACCAATGCAAGACCTTTAGTAGCAAGGAGGGTTCATCATTGTTGGATTTGGATGGTGAACTACTTACCCTTTTCGGGACTATACAAGCCTGTCAAGACAGCCGAGTGTTTCGAGACACCCTCGATTTTCTTGTCCTAGTATTGGCAAGACATGTTTTATAGCTGAGCTACGATGATGAGTAGAACTCGGCATGTAGTTTTTGGAAGCGTTAACTAACGGATCCATCATGCAGGATTAATCAACAAGCTCCAAATGCTAAATGCCCCACACAATGTAGTGATTCAGAGATTGACCGGATAAAAGCACAAGCATCCACCTGTCCAGGCTGTTACCCACACCCGTAGAGGTGATTGATGCGCTTGAGACGCTGAAGTACTCCGTAGCCTTGTAGTCACGGAATACAGACGTGGACAAAATAACCACAGATCGCCAGGAGACAGGTTATTAGGTTTTCACACCTCCTTGCATGAAACAACAATCCTTGGATCTCCTGGCAGCCAGGGGCTGAGCCGTGGGGGGGGCCCTGGCGGCCCGCATGAGTTCTTGTTGAGCCAAGCTTGTCAATAATTTGGGCTTTCAGATGACACTGAACTTTGGAGACAGTCTAACATGGAAGAGAATTCTGTGTTTAACGAGGCTGACCATTTTCCAGGCTATGCCGACAACAATTCTCCCTAGGTAGGATCACGAATACCTCCGATGGAATCTGGAGAATTGTTGATGACGATACTAATGTTATATATAAATAACTAGTATCCTGTCCAGCTTTTCGCTCCTGCTGATGATTCTGTATCTTCCGGATATTAACATGCAGATAAACATGTTTTTATCATAAAATAAATACCAGCATATTGTGACTACTTTCGGGTTAACCGGTGAATGGGGACCCGCCGAGCGTATGGTTGCCGGGTTTGACTAATCACCAAAAGTGTTGGGCTCGAAAGCAGTGGCCTGATCCACTGCGAGACCTCAATATCTTCGCTCAAGGAAAGTTGAGAAGACTGACGACGATGGATCCCATCATAACCACACCACGGTTGAAGCTGATCCGGCTGACAAAAGCCGAGAGGGAGAGCCCAGAGTTCGAATGGCTTCACCGACTCCACAGCAACGAGAAGTCGATGTTCTGGATGTACATAAGCACTGCCTGCAACCTGATTTGTGTGTGTAATTGATACTGATTCCATCTAGGCTCGGGGGAACATCAGACTCAGTAGAAAAAACCGAAGCACTCATCAGCAATTACCTGCCGGCAGATGAAGAAGCAAGAGGGAGCTACCGAGCCGTCTACACTGTTCATCGAATCGACGACGATCCCTCCGAGTTCATCGGCATTGTCACGATCTGCCCACTCGATTCCACCAGCCTCCCGCTGCCAGAGAGTCTTACCATACCAGCAACCGAAGCAGCAACGACTCTGACCGTAGAGGTTGCCTATTCGTATCTCCCGGCCGGATGGGGTAAAGGGTACGCAACCGAGTCGATCAACGCAGTGTTTGAAGGATGCCGACGAGCCCGATCCTTTTGGCTGCTGTTCACGAAGCTTTACGTCAGAGCGATTGTAAACCATGAGAACTGGCCAAGCTTGCGGGTGATGGAGAAGACGGGGATGGTCAAGCGGGGAGTGCACGAATGGAGAGGCAAGGCTGTTTTTGTGGGCGGAAGATGGCGCGAGCAAGACACTATCTGTATCTTCGGCCAGCACCTCTTCGGCGGTGCTGACGATATCTAGCACTCGTCCAAATCAAAAGGAGCTGGAGATGTTTCCGCGGCTCAGAAGTCCCGGTTTCTATCTTTAGCCGAGTTGGTCCAGAAAAGGAAAGGGCCCAGGCACGAACCCCTGCTGACTAAGATGACGCACTTTCTCCGTTTTCGAGTTAGTTACCGACGGCACGGGATGCTTGGCAGGCTTGGTACTCTTGGCATATGACTTGGGCTTCGGTCACGGGACGCAGCCTCATGATGGAGACGCGCGTGAAGAATGGGGAGTGAACAGCCGGGCGATGGGATGGAAGATACCAGAAAACAGCAGAAAAAGAGCGCGAGAAAGGAAGTGGGAATGACGAGGTTTCAGCGGAACAGATTTGCCGAAGATGCATGAGTCAACTCCATTCCCTTGACCGTGAAGTGGGGGCTCTTGCTGGGATAATCGATATCAGTCAGGGCTGAAAAGAGCGGCTCTTCGGCCAGCCCTACGGCCGTGTCACGGGACCCCCGCCCGCGCCTTTTTTCATTCGTATAAACAGTGTGATTCAGCTCCTTGACAGGAACTTGTCGCAACGTCGTCGCCAATAACATCTTACGCCTGAGAAGGCCGCTGAGGAGACGAGAGAATCGGTCCAGGATCTGGTCGAGTGACCACCCCAGATTCATGTCTTACTGGCAAAACACTACGCCCTTTAACGGGGGAGCTGGCGGCTATTACCAGCAACAGCCTCCTCAGCCGCAATACCAGCAACCATACCAACAACCTCCATATCAGCAACCTCCATACCAGCAGCCGCCCTACCAGCAACCACCTTACCAGCAACCGCCATATCCTCAAAATCTCACACCACAGCCCCAGTACCCATATCCGTAAGTTGCTCTAGAGCATAACTTCAGCCTCATCAAGATAGCTATTCCACTGAACTGACCGTTTGTCCCAGCGCGCCCTCTCCTACTCCTAGTTACAACCAACCACCACCTCCATCTCCACGTCCTCCGTCCCAGCAACCACCCTACTATCCCCAAGAGCCGCCGCGGGCACCACCATCACCTTACCCCGCGAGCAACGGAAACAGCGGGAACAACCGTCCCACCCCTCCACCACCACCGCAGAGCAGCCAGAGCTTTGGTCATGGCGCACCATCCTCCTACCGATTTAAATACTCGAACTGCTCTGGCCGACGGAGAGCTCTTCTCGTCGGTATAAACTACTTTGGCCAGGGCAGACCTTTGAAAGGCTGTATCAATGATGTTGCGCGCATGTCTACATTTTTGAACCAGCGCTATGGCTACCGACGCGAGGACATGGTGATTCTTACAGATGATCAAGCAAATCCAATGAGCCATCCAACGAAAGCAAATATGATCCGTGCCATGCAGTGGTTGGTTTCGGGCGCACAGCCAAATGATTCGCTGTTTTTCCACTTTTCAGGTACCCCATCAATCATTGCCCAGTTCCTGTCCCGGCTGTATCCGGCTATGATCCCTGGTTGGATGTATTCATGCTGATTGGTTAACTTTAGGTCACGGTGGGCGTACCCGCGACCTAGACGGTGATGAAGACGATGGTGAGTTTGACACTACTTTATACCGGAATTTGAGAAGGTTAGGGTTTAATAAGTGTCTGTTACAGGATTTGATGAAGTGATTTACCCGGTCGACTTCCAAACTGCTGGCCACATAGTTGACGATGACATGCACGCTATCATGTTAGTATACCTCCAGTCTAGACCGTAACTCCAACTGACACCTGTCTTCCTAGGGTCCGTCCGCTGCAACCTGGAGTCCGACTTACTGCCATCTTCGACTCTTGCCACTCGGGCACTGCCCTGGATCTCCCTTTCCAATACTCTACACAAGTATGTATTATTAAGCTTTAACCCAAAACCAATACTAACTTTCACGCAAGGGTGTCCTGAAAGAGCCGAATCTCGCTAAAGAAACAGCCTTGGATCTCTTGAGTGCCTTCAAAAGCTACGAGAGCGGCGACATCCGTGGCGTCGCCAACACCACCATCGGCTTATTCAAGAAACTTACCATTGGCGACTCGGCTCGTCAGAAAACGCTTAGAACCAAGACCTCGCCTGCTGACGTGATCATGTTTTCTGGCTCAAAGGATACGCAGACATCGTACGTATATTTGTACATTCCTCCTGCTTAACACACATCCCGTCTGACATGCTTTATTAGTGCGGACACTGTTGAAGGCGGCTCTGCGCAGGGCGCAATGAGCTGGGCATTCCAAGAGGCGTTGAGCAAGAACCCGAAGCAAAGCTATATCCAGCTTCTAAACAGCATAAGAGCTGAGCTGAGTGGGAAGTATTCGCAGAAACCGCAGTTGAGCTGCAGCCATCCACTGGGTAAGTTGCTGTCCGGCTTTGGTCTGAACCCTGGTTGAGATAAGTGTGCACTGACATGGTCCACAGATACAAACTTACTTTTCGTGATGTAGTTAATGTTCGCGTGGGATAAAATGATAAGATAAGATCAGATGAATGCACGGGCCGTTTGTGATGACGATATGGGATACGTTATGATATGAAATATTTAGCTGGAGTCTGTGTTTACGTTGCGTCGAGGTTGCTGTTACTTTCGTATTTCTCTTTTTTCCTTTCCATTTCTCTATAATATGCAGACTGAACTGGTTCGGCTATATTGTTTATTGCTAATCTTATTCTTTATCTCTTGCGCTGTCCGACCTGTATCTGTAGATCGGTATAATATAAGTCTATGTACAATTTCTTTCGCCAAACAACAGGAACAACCAAAAAAACACCTCGTACAGTCAGGACAGAGGATGATTTATCTCATGTTAAGCATCATGGCATCCGGGTTCTCGACCATACGGCTGACAAGTGCAGCCATTCTAGCCATGGTAGCGCCATCGATGACTCGGTGGTCTGCACTCCAGCTGAAGTTCATCATTTGGCCGGCAGCAACCTTTCCTTCAGCGTCGAAGACTGGCACCTTTCTGATCTTGCCAATGCCGAGAATAGCGACCTCAGTGGGTACAAGGACTGGGGCAACAACAGTTCCGCCAATGGTGCCAATGTTGGAGACTGTGATAGTGCCTCCGGAGAGATCTGCTGGTGTAAGTTTGCCTGCTCTGGCGACTTCGCTAAGCCGGTTAAGCTCAGCTGCAATGTCGATGATAGAGCGAGCCTGGACGTTCTTGATGTTGGGCACTAGTAGTCCCGTGGGGGTATCCATTGCAACACCGATGTTATGGCTTGCGCGCATGACGAGGGATGGCTTGGCAGGGTTTGAGGTGGTGTCTACCCGCGCATTGAGGATGGGGAACTGGTTCAGGGCGAGAGAGACCGCCTTGATGATGAAGGGGAGGTAAGAGAGTTTAGGCTGGGAGCCGTCCTTGGGGGCGGTAGAATTGAGATGGGAGCGGACGCGGGATAGAGCAGCAATATTGAGCTCGTCTGAGTAGAGGAAGTGGGGGATCGTGAGGGACTTGGTCATGGTCTTGAACATCTGGGACTGGATGGGGGTTAGGGCCTGGGTGGTCTCAACCTGTGGGGTGTCAAGGCCTGGAGCGGGAGCTGTGGCTGTGGCTGAAGGAGCTGCGGCAGGGGTGGGGGTCTGGCCTCCCTCGAGGTACCTCTGCACATCCTCCTTGAGGACTCGGCCATGGGCACCGGTGCCATTGATGAGTGAGATATCAATGTTGTGTTGCTTGAGCATTCCTCGGACTGCGGGAGTTGCGAAGGTAGCGTATTTGCCCTTTGGTGGAGCTTCAACCGTCTCTGCTACCTGTGTAACATCTGCTGCTGAGGACTCTGCGGCCACATCTGCAGCGGTGGTCTCTGCCGGGGCTGCTGCTTCTGGAGCTGGAGCCGGAGCTGGGGCGGAATCTGGGTACTTGGCGTCATCGACCTCAATATCACAAAGCGCAGCACCGGTAGGGATTGTATCGTCTGGCTGGAAGTGCAGTTTCTTGATGACACCCTCATAGCGCGACGTTATCTGCAATCGTCAGCACTCCACCTTTCCAGATTGGCCACACCTCCATCCTATTCTTCTTCTTCTTCTTTTCTTCTTATACGTACATCGTCAATAGCCTTGTCTGACTGGTACTGGCATAGAGGCTTCCATTCCTCGATCCGGGCACCTTCCTCGACGTACCACTGTATGACCTGGACTTCGGTGATTCCTAGAGAGCTGTTAGCTTCGCCATTGCCGTGCACAACAAGGGGTAGCAGGACAAAGTACCCTCGCCGACATCCTTGAGAATCTGCGACCTGATGCCCCAGGGGACGGGGGAGCTATGGAACCGCCGCCGGAAGCGGGAGGTGTATGTGGCAGGCAAGCAAACGGGGGCCGAGGAGAGCAGTCCTCGCGACAGGGACGCCTTGTGAACCAGCGATCTCACGGCAGACATCTCAATTGCAGATATATCTCACTCTATATAGGTGGTCGGATGTCTTTGTCTGGATATCGAGATGTTTGGTCTGGTCGGGCAGAGCGAGCGAGAGACAGAAAGCAAGGAGGAGGAAGAAAGCGACGCGGCGGGAAGAGCGAGGGCAGGTAAAGCCGAAGATAGCCGCCAGGTCACGGGGGCGTGGAAAAGCCCTAAGCCCCACGTCTGTCCCGATCGGGCGACGGCAGCGACGGCCGACCGCCGAAAGCAGAAGACTTAGGGCTTAGGGCTAGCTGTGCTTATGTCATTGCCCATCACGGTCTTTTTTTGTTCCTGCATGCCGATTCCGCGGCTCAGGTTAGCCTTATTTTTTAAGTAGGCCCAGGGGGCCCGCTCGACGCCTCGCGGACAGGCGGAGGGTGGCTGATATCTACATAGTCAGAGGACTACGGAGCAATGAGAAGGAGTACTTAAAGTATGGTGAAGCGACGGCTGGGACCCGATCAACGAGATGAAACGCTGTAATCTCATCTGTTTATCAGATCCTTGTGTAGCGGCGGTGAGGCTAGCCTGATATGGCAATGATGATGCAACTCCCCTTGGGTGATCCTCCAGCCCCTCGTCCTGCCTGCGTCTCGCGGCTCTGAACTTCATGCAAGACCTCCAACCTCAGTCATCGCCATCGTCATCGTCATCTTCACGCAAGAATACTGATTGTTGAGACGGCAGAGATAGACATAGAGCCATGGTCGCCGAACACCTCACCGTACGCAACCTGACCCGGACGCCGGTCGTCCTCAAGCTGGTGGAGCGTTTCAACCCCCCAGATGGGCCCAAGACGCTTGCCAGCACCTTCACCACCATGGTGAACAACATCACAGGCACCCCAGCTGAGATTGCTGCCATCCAGGAAGGGGCCCAGCCCTTTGCCCGTCAAGATGTTGATGTTCGAGTAGAGCCTTTCACGGAAGCACGCAGTGATGTCAGGTTCTTCGATAAGTCGGACAAGGAACGCACACGTCTCACCTTCGAGGTTGAAGGGGACCGATACCAGATACAGGTCCCAGTGCCTACCAAGGAGACCATTGTCATGAAGTGCCTCTCTCCGAATCCACGCTTCCAGTTCACGGGTATCTTCAACCCGGAGCACGCCCATCTTGCCTTATTTTCCTCCGCCAATCTCAACTGCTGGATGCGCGAGCTCAAGGATGATACCTTGACCTCTTCCCTCTCCATACCAGGCACTCACAACTCCCCCACATGCCACGTTGCTCCTCCATCCGTACGCTGTCAGGCTGTTAGTCCTCGCGAACAGCTTGATAACGGTGTCCGTTTCTTCGATATTCGTGCTCACCCTCAGTGGCCGAATGATCCAGCCAAGGACGGGCTCATACTCGCCCATAGCGTCTTCCCCATCTCCCTCACTGGTCAAAAGACATTTAGGGATATGCTGGGTCAGATCGAGGAGTTTCTTGACCGTAACCCGTCCGAAACCCTGATAATGTCCCTCAAGCGTGAGGGTCCCGGAGAGCATCATGACCACCAGCTGGCCAATATCCTCAAAACACATTATACCAACGCAAACCCATCACGCTGGTACACTGACACCAAAGTCCCCACTCTGGGCCAGGTGAGAGGCAAAATAGTGCTTGTCCGTCGCTTTGATATCCCGGACCATCTCAAGAAGGAACATGATGGCCGTGGCTGGGGTATTGATGCCACAGACTGGGCTGATAATACGGATCACGCCGTCTGTTCCAGCGGGACACTCTGTATCCAGGACTTTTATGAGGTCCTCGAGACAGAAAACATTGAAAAGAAAATTGGGTTTGTTCACGCCCAGCTCGGTCGATCCTCTGAGTGCTGCTATCCCCTGGGCACCCACAAGCCGGATGGTGACCACTGTCCATACTTTGTCAACTTCCTGAGTGCCAGCAACTTCTGGAAAGTTCAGACTTGGCCTGAGAAGATTGCAGCCAAGCTCAATCCTGCTACTGTCGATTATATCTGCCGCAGTCACAAGTCGGACAAAGGCGACTGGTCAACCGGTATCATTGTCAGTGACTGGGTAGGCAAAGATGGAGACTGGGACCTAGTCAGGTGCATCGTCGGTATGAACGCCAAGTTGGAAAAGTAGACCAGCGACTCTGATATCTAACTAATGGGTGTACGATTTCTTTCTATTTCTCTCCTTTTGTTTTCTTGTTTTCCTTTGGTGGCTGGCATAGGTGGCTGGCTGGAACGGACGGACGGAACGGTACCGGTGATAGATGGTATGATAATGAGGAGGGATTAACCGGGGGAGGAAGTAAATAGGTATTCAAACATCTGTTACATATACTGTCACATATATTATACAAGTCTAGCCACGGAAACACAAGCTTCCACGTATCATCACTACTTCTGCTCAGCCTGCTCTTCCTTCTTGCCACCATTCTGCTCCTCTTCCAGAACACTTCTCCTGCTCTCAAGAGTGAGATATAGATTGTTTCCTGCACTCTCCAATGTCCTAGCCAATCCAGAGCTGACACCTTGCAGCATACCAACCAACTGGGCCCGTAATCCACCAAGTCCACCTTCAATACTACCAACCCACTTCGTCTCATCAGCATCAAACACTTTTCCTTCCACCCTGGCTCCCAACAACATCAACTTCTGCAACCCAGCCTGCGTAGTCAGATCGTACAGTCCAGGATTCGCCTTGCGTGGAGGTGGAGGGAACAAGCCGGTCTTCCCCGTGGGAGCCAAAATAGAGAACGCAGCACGCAGATGATCCGGAGATACAGACGGGAACGAAAGCGTAGCTATCGGTCCCACAAGCAAGGTGGAAAAGTCATGTTGTCCACGCTTTGGCAGCACAGCTCGATAAGCCGAATACGACAAATCATGCGTTAATCGAGGATCCTCCTTATCCAGTATCGGGCCCTGTCCACTAACAGCCGCAGTATCAGGCCGGTAAAAATCCACCACCCTCATGGCAGCCTCGTATATAGATGTCTGAATGATCTGTAGCTTGATGGCGTCTGCAATCGCCGGCTCGGATCTGCCCATTGCAGCGTTGTTTTCGTCAACTTTACGCAAAGCCTTGGTCAGCTCGCGCCGGATGTTGGCCCACTCGGTGGATTGGAGGTTGTTATGTTGGAAGTAGATGATCAATGGCATTGTGCGTAGAATCGAGGCGTATTGTCGGTGCAGTTGGGATTTGCGGTATTCTGGTCTTCGGTGAGAGAGCGGCTGGAGGGTTTCGGGTGACATTGAGGTCGCGGTGGCTGCTGGGGCAACAGACGCCATTGATCGTGACCTGGTAAGGGCAGATAGAGATGCTGTGATGGATTGTAGCTCATGCTGGAGCAGGGTATGTGGTGTTCTCGTCCTCCGGGCAAGAGATTGGAGACGTATTCGTGGAGGCATTGTGGTGGGTAGAGAGCATGTGATGGGCTATGAGCTGTTGTATATTATGTTGGATTTTATGCTGTAACCCTCCGGCGTTTGATATTGTACGTCCGGAGTCGCTGGCGCAGCTGGATGAGTCTGATAAGTTCTTGCAGGTCGCTGAAATTTGATGTTGAACTTGCCAAACGGACGGGAGCAGCAAAACTTTACTGAACGGCGACACCATTTTCCGCGATTAGTAAGCAGAACTAGCTCCATCCACTTATCTGGAGGCTGACCTCCTACTGTTGGCTTTCACTTCGTTCTCAGCTCACACAACTAGGCACACAGTTCAGAGCTCTATGGCATGGTTAGGTTCTTTTGCCCCATGGCGCCGTGGTTAAATGCATGTAAGCTACTACCTAAGTAACTAGGTTTTTAACTTGATAACCACTAGTGTGGGTTCGCTCTTTTGGCTCAACTCCTTTGTTGCACAGCTTTACGCACACCTATATTTACCATCTATAAAATGGCTTTTCGATATAACCTTGTGGAGTTCGACTCTGATGAGGAGAGAAAGAGAGAAAGAGAAATAATACCCCAGATGTTCCGCAACCTAATTAATATCTACCGCTCTGTTTACGGTAAATAAGCTCTGTTATCAATGTTATGATGTCAAATACATCGATTGGGTGGTTAGCTACTGAATATGTCCTTAGCTTCTTGGATCTGTTTCACGATTGCCCGGCAGGATATTACTACGTTTGATAGGACCACCACGCTCAGGCTCCCGTTTACGCTTGCCCATGGTAGCCACTTCAGATATAACGCCTAGGCTAATAATCCCCTGCTCCGGATGCTATTTAATCAATTAGCAGACGCTACTTGTCGAAGCAAGACAGGGTCGTACCTGAGCTCCATAAAGGCCTGTAACTATAGTCCCAGGTTCAACTGACAGTGGTGTCATGGTTGGGGGTTCAACGGTTGGGTCTCTGGTCGCGAAGTGTGCCGATCTCCCGTAATTTGTTGTAATCTATATCACATCAATAGGTATCCAGTTAGCAGCTAATAAATTTACTTTTCTTCGGGTCTGATGTATAACTGGGACCATGCTGACCTTGAAAGAAAACAATTTTCCCCATCTATAGAATGGGTAAACATTCTTTCCCTCGAAGCGAATAATACTCGCATCGATGCTAGTGATGTATTCTCCTCCAGGGCCGTCTATTTTGAAGCGATTCATGATCGAAAAGTCCGTGACTTTACGGCGACCTAATTTGCATATTTCCACGGGCAGGTCGATATCATATTCGAACTCAATGGTGCATATATTTCCTGGGCCAGTGACACAAACACCTGTAATATGTTTGAGGTAGGCACCTTTAGGGCCCCCGAAATTAATCCAAGCCAATGGTTGGTAGCCGGCAGTTAGCGGATCTTGCCCTGTAAAGGACTGATCATTTAGACACAGCCCTGGGCTGGGTATAGAAGGATACCAAAAGGCTTTGCGCTGCAACGGTATCTTAAGTGGTATTGAATGAGGCGAAGCAGCTGCAATGCTGATTATTTTGTAGCCCTGTTGCCGTATACGACGTAAGTATTTAGTTCCTTTTGTCATGGTGAGAAGAGGCCGTTTCGTACTTACATCTACTCCTACTTCCAGGGTATTTATATCTCCCAATTTCATCAAACGTCCAGTAATTGGAGTACCAGCCGGGTTACCTACCCAATCTGACTCGTTTCCATCACCGTGAATAACACGAACAGCACGTATCCCTCGAGAATCGACTGCTAACATAAACCCACCCAAAGATGTTGTTTCAATGACCACCTCCTTGCATTTAATTATGTAGCCCAAACAAATATCTTCTTGGACACCGGAGATCAGGCGGATACCAGTGATGCTATCTTCAGCTACTGAAAACCCAACTCTCAAAAGGTTAGAGGGTATCGTAGTACGTTGTTTGTCAAATAGGAGACAGCCCTGGTTGAAAGTGTCAGGGTAACCCGAGTCAAATTCAACTAGAATATCTCCAGCTACCTCACATATCCCATTGCGAGTACTGCTTGTTAGAGAGAGCTTCGGATTTTTATCAAGAGATGACGCTAAATATGGTGCAAGGCACTGGATTAAGTCCCATATTCGTCTTCTATTTTTTAAGCCCGGAGGGCTGGCCGAGCGTTTTGTGAGTTGGTACAACTTAATCCAGTCTCTGGCTTCTTTGCAATTCCGTTTCTCAAAGAGAAACGCTCGGTCTTTCCCGGTTTCGAATCTTGAAGCCCAAAATGTTTGGCTGGAGAGGATTGGGCCGAATGTCCTTGATGAACGGATTAAGGCCAATATGTCTGATACTAACAAGTTGGCGCTTATTTCTTCGATAATTTCCCAGGGAAATATAGCAAAACAGTCACTTTTCGTTTCCCTCACTACATGAGGCTGTGTAATCCCCAGTGAAGGAGATGAATTATACGAAAGGGTAAGTAGCTCTGGTATCTCCGCAACATCATATGGATCCTTCTTCGCATGGGTTAGAGAGCTGTTGAACTCATTCTCTACCCTGTCTTCCCACGGGTAATGGTCTTTGGTATCCAGAGTTATCAGTTCTCCGTAGTCATGCCCCCAAAATGCGCAGCTTCCCAGAATAGCGAGCGGAAGAGATCTACAAACATCATGGAGTCGCTCTATTGGGACATCATCCGGTTCGTAGAATTTCTGCAAAAGCTGCCAGCACAAGTCATGCATGACAAAACCATGGAGTCCACCGTCTGCACTCTGTCGCATAACTGGAATTCTATCAGAGAATGAGGGTGTATAACCCGGGTCATCCCAGCGAGACGCACTATCTGATGGTGCTATCCAATCAATGGTATAGGGGTCGGAATGGCGACCAACACCAGAAGTGAACGTAGCCTGTTTGCTACAGTAAACTAGTAATAGACTGCTCAGTTTTGTCCATTGTTTTATCCATCAATCTTTGGGACGCATAACCCACTAATTCGGAATTCTTTCAGCCAATCTACAGGCCCGAAGCTCTCAATAAAGTAACCGCAAATAATACAGCAGAAGTTCGAGGGACTCATGGTATATTCGACGGGCCTCTTTTACCCTTGATGAAGTGCAGTAAATATCAGTAAAATGCTTATGTTGGGTAAAGAGTGATACAAGAATAGGGATAAAAATGATTAGCAAATCCAAGGAATCGTGGGGTTTTGTCATATAAAATAAGCTGTGATTCTCAACCTTCAAGTCTGAGGTTGCTCTTGAACTAAGTAGTTAGTGAATGTTTGTTTTATAATAATGTAGCAAGGTTAGGCCTTATAAACGCTAGTTAAACTCTAGTTAAGTAACTAACTAAAACTAGTTAGTGAACTTTACACGTGACCCGTTTAAACACCTCGATGGCTGGCCTCAAATGTAGGCCTTGGCGCGGTTAAAACTACTTAGTAGGTAGTTAGACAATACTGGCCCATTGCAGAAGGGTTAATTGTCCCAGATTATTAACCTATATCTATAGGAAAAAAAAGGAAAGGTACTGCGAGTCAGGTGTTAGGAAGAGAATTTTTTAGCTAGTAGGAAAAATAATCCTAGGTGCTACTGCTAAATACAAATTTCAAGGCCGTATTCAGGGGTTCTGTGCTTGTAATGGCGAGAAGGATAGTTGTAACCACTTCGGCCATTTCTGAATATCATAGCTGCACTTCTGTGCTGCCTACAATCCCTAGTGGCTTGTTTTCTCAACCCATTCATTCAGAACCTTATGAACTTCGGCTTCGTCCTTCTTAAGTTCGTAGTAGTCTCCAGTGCGAACGGTTGTGTAGTCGGTCAAAGTCTGTTCCTTTGGCTCGAGGTAGTAGAAGCGAACATAGGTTCCAATAGTAACAGCAGCATAAAGTGTATCATTCCAATCCTGTTCAGCGCGGACAAGTTTCAGGTAGTCTGTGAGTTGCCTGACTGCCTCGGCCCACCAAGAAGACTGGGTCTCGTATCCTCGTCGCTTGTTCTCCATTAGAACAACTTTCTTTGGCTGACCGTTTTTGACGTATCGAATGATGAAGTCAGCACGGCTGTAGACTTTTTCGAGTGGGCGTTGCTCCTGTTCGATCCCATAAAACTTGTCCTGGGTAAAGTAATGGGGTAGGGTATTGTTCCAGAAGTTATCGACCGCATTCTCCGTAGAGCCAGGTTTTTTGATTTCGTCATAGTAGAACTTCGGCATAGGCTTGCTCAGGTACTTGGGAGATTCAATTAGCAGTGTTGATGACATGCTTGTGCCTTATCATTCAACTCACATAAGACATGCTTCCGGTCAAGCAGAGGAGGCCTCCGAGGCTAAAGGGTGCAGATTGATGCAGGTTCAGGGAAATGGTAAACACAAGTTAAAGTATGTATTTCTTTGCAGTGTGGTATTGTGAACGATTCAATCAAATACCTATTGTGAAGTGATGAAGGTCACAAGCCCATATTTATAGACTCCTTCATACCTGGGTCTACCCTTATGGCATTAAACAGGTATCTAAAAATAAGTTTCCTCTTGCCGCCGTTTGAGCCAACAGATAATACTTGGCCCCCAAATTTCAGAATATGGCCCCGAGTCGGCAGGTTAATAGAATCAAGGCTAGCTTCTCAACCAATGAATAAGCGCCAGGAGGTTGATGATCATAAAGTTCCAGCTCCTGCATATGGTGGGTAACATATTGGTTGGCTGTCATGTATGGAACATTGTTTGAAGGGAAAGGGGTCCAAACACCTATGTCTGGGTGCCCCTGCTCGTTGCCCCGGATGTTCCGCACTTTACAAGGACCGGCGTATAGGCCCCATCCCCACCTGGGCGGCTAGTAGGCGCTGGATGATGTAAGTTGGTTATGAATATGCATTTTGACCTGATGATCCATTCAGTCCGCCGTAGGATGCTACCCCTGGACAATACCCGTAAGTCTGAGCCAAAAGAGCTGGGCCAAAAGATCGGCCAGTAATTTGAGGTCAAATATCTTCGATCGTACACTAGCTGAGACGGTCTGTTATCTTGGTAGGGAAAGTCAGCCAAAGGGATCAGCATAGTTCCATACCAAAAATCGACTACCACTCGATTTAGTGACCAGTTAGTTACCTTTACTTCTCTTCTCCATACACTGGGCATCCCTCGTTGTTTCCCTTCAAACAACTGCGCCCCTTGTGACTAAAGGATTGGCTCATGCAGCCTCTCATGCAATAATAAAAATGGGCACCCTAATCTCCAGTTCATCTAGAGATTACTTTATTCTCTTAACCAGTAATACTGCTGTCTGGATCATTGGAGACCGGGGAGATAATTATGGTGTCTGCGTCATGGCGTCGGGGGTTGTGGTTAAGTACGGCCATAACATACGCGCCCAATGGAAGCGGTAATGATGGATTATATCCATGCGGCTTGCCCCCAAATTCATATACCTGAGGAGCTAGACGTGGGACGAAGTAAAGGGAGAAAGAACATTCTGCTGATATCTAGCCATGTGTTGGATGCCCGGCTCGGTGCTGAGCCTATGTTGGCCAACCATAGATCAGCCTCAACACGAGCGCGCGCTCAAAGATCTAGACAGGATTTTGTCGTAACTATGAGCAGTACCGGTATCTTTTATAGCCCTGATCAGCACTGTTGACTGCGGACCTGCAGTTGACGTTCATGCCTGTCATGCTGAATTTGGTGGGCCATCGTTATGCAACCGAGTACTGGTTCAATGATGAAATGGGCTGATCTATTAATAGATATAAGTTAGTTAGTAAAAGCTTAGTCACTAACTTAGTCATCTATGAGTCATCCAGAGGGGCTCTGGTGATCCCTGCATGGCGGGAGCAGGATGTAGCTCAGCTGACCCCTTCGCTTAGCTCGGTCGACCCAAACTCTAAATTTTTACGTAATATCTTATGTAATCATATAAAGGTAAGCTAACCTTACTAGAAGAAAAAGAATAGTATGAATTTAATTTTATATTTATATTTTTTAAAATATATATATTACGACTAGTTTATAACTAATTACTATAGTAGATAATAGTAACTTATTTAAATTTAACTCTAGAGGAGCTTTTATATAAAGCTCTAATAATAGTATTATTAAAGATATCTTTAATATAAATAAGGATTTATTCCTATATAAAAACTATACTTTTAATATTAAATAGAAGGGGGAGCCTAAAGTATTTACTAGTCTATAATTAGTTAGTAACTACTTACTAACTATTTATAGGGGGGTAATAAGCTTACTAAGCTTACTCTATTAATAACTTCTAATATAACTCCTCTATTTACTAGGAAGATTAAATTTAGTTCTTATCTTTTTAAATATCTAAAGATATATAAAGATAAATTTATATATATTATAAATCGATATAGAGAAATAGAAAATTTAAATTTTATAAATAAAGTATTAATATAACTAGTTCTAGAGTACTTTATAATTAGTTACTAAGTAGTTTATTATAAATTTAATTTTTTCTAGGTATACTATTCTAATAAAAATAATAAATAATTCTTTTCTAAATATAATAATATTTAGATATAAATACTCTTATATTAAAGTGAAAATATATAAATATTTTACCTCTAAATTAGTAAACTACTTCTTTATATCCTTATTTAAAACTAAATTTTATTAGTATTAGGAAATATAGAAGTATAATAAAACTATATAAGGGGAGGTATAGGAGAATATAATTAGATACTATAAGAATTAGTTATTTACTACTCCTTAACTACTTATTAACTAGTTAATAACTAGTATTTAGTAGGGGGTATAGAAGAGATTTAAAGCTAAAAATGTATAAATAAATCAAGATATAAGCTACTTACTAAAACTTAAATAGATATAAGAATGGATAAAACTTAACTTATAGGTAAATAGGTAGATATAAGTTTTGCCTACTATAGTTAACTAGCAAAGGTAGTAGGTAGATAGTAGGAAAGTTTAAAAATCTAAATAGGTAAATAAGCTACCTATAGAATCTATCTATGAAGTTTAATATTTCTATAAGTTATAATATAAATCTTATAAATATAAGAATTAATAATATCGTATATTATTAAAATTATCTAGAATATTATTTACTAATATAAGGTAAAAATTTAATTTGAAAAATATAAAATTTATTTTAATTTTATAATTATAAAATTATAAAAGTATATAAAATATAGTTATATTATATATAATATATAAATTTATAATATTATAAATATAATATATAGAAAATATAAAAAATATAATTGAAATATTTATAAAGAGTAATTAATAATAAAGCTAATATTATTACTAAATATAAAAATAAAATATAATAAAAAAGGATATTAAAATTAAGTAAGTAAATATTAGATTAGAATTTATTTATTATAATAATATATTTAAGTACTGGAAGGGGTTAATTTATATTTATTTTCCTCTTCTTTATTAATAGATATAGTTAATTAATAATAGAAAAATAGATCCTTAATATTATTAATATACTTCTTATTTAAAAACTCTATAATAGTAGACTCTATTATTTAGTTAAGGTACTATATATAACGAAGGGATATTATGGAAGTAAAATTTTTAATTTTGGAGAGATTATTAGTAATAAGCCTATTTTTATTAAGGTAGTTATTAATAAGCTCTACTATAATAATCTAGATAATCTAGAGATTAAGTCTAATATAGTAAAAATAATTTATATTATAAGTAATATTAAATAACTACTCTATATCTATAGTAGAGGGTAGAACTATTAAGATATTATAAATTATTATAGAAAGAATTAAAAAAATATTTAAAAATTCACTTTTTAATACTTAAGAATTAATATATTTTAAATAATTTCTAAATTTTATATATATTAAAATATTTAAATTTTATATTTAAAAAAAATTATAATATTTTATTTTTACTAATATACTCTATAATTTTACTAAAAATAATAGCCTCTTAAGACTTACTTTATAGATTTTTTTATTTCTTTAATATAAAGTTTTTATTATATAGATACTTAAAAAGAGTTTAATAATATATATATTTAAATATAATAATATTTGAATATTATACTTAATAATAAGAGAAGATATTTTTATATTTAGTTAATATTTATTTTAAGTAATTTATTTTTTAAATTCTTAGTTTCCTCTCTTTATAAGGCTTCATTGAATATTTATAGTTTTAATTTTAAATTAAGAATAGTAGCTATTATATGGAGATATTTTTAAATTTTATTTATCTAAATATAGTATATTAATAGTTTTTTATAAATAACTTTAATTCTAATATATAATATTATCTTCTATAGAATATATTTAATTTTAAGTTTCTTAATAGGGGTATTTAAATAATTATAGAGGTATTTATATATATTATAAATTAAATTAACTAATAAGTTAGTAGCTTTTAAAATACTAAGTATTATTATATAAAATAGAATAAGAAGCTTAAAAAAATATTCTAACTAAAATTATTCTTTAGTTTAAATATATAGATAAAATAAATTATGATTTAGTTAGTATTAGATAAAGAGTATAAATATATTATAAAGCTCTATAGTATAAGTAAGTATATAAAGTATTAAATTCCAGTATATTTAGTAATTATAATAAGGAAGGAATAATTCCTCTTTTCTACTAATTTATAGCTTCTTAAAAAGATCTAACCTTTTTAAGTTAGTAGTAATAAATATAGAAAAGTTATAGATCTATAAAATAAATGACTATTAGAACTATAAAATAAATAATTATTAGAATTATTAATGAAGAATAATAATAAATAGTAATATTTTTTTAAAAAAATATAATAATTTTATATTACTCTATATATATAAATTTAAAAAATTCTATATAGTAATTTTTTTATTATTAGAAGACTCTACTTAAATTAACTTTAGAATTACTTTTACTACTAGGTTAATAATATATAGAATATATAGAATATACTCTTTAATTAATAAAATACTAGCTAGATTAAAATTATAGTTAGATTAATTAGTATTATAAATCTAAATATAGAATATAAATCTAGAGTATAATATTTTATTATTTAAAGTATTATTTATTATAATAAATAATATTTTATTGATAAAATTATAATAAATAAAAATTTCGAATACTATCTTAGTAAATTAATCTCTAATATAAATACTAATAAAAGGGGTAAATTTTAATAGTAGCTTATAAATCTTCTAATTCTTATTAATATAGTAAAGAATAATAGTTATAAATAAGTATATATTAGGGCTTATTTAGTAATCTAAGATAAGTAATATTATTATACTAGAA